CCTTCCTAGGATTATGCAACCACACCTTCTCTCCTGGTACAAAGCTGACTTCAGTAGATCTCTTATCATAACATAGCTTCATGGAATCAGAAGATGTTTTCAAGTTTGAATACACTTGATGATGAATATCATCCATCCTTTCAGATAACACTTTCACGAACTCTGACACATTTTCAGGCAACTCTTCGTAAGGTGGGCGTCCTGTTAACAGATCCACTGGCAACCGAAATTCCCGACCAAACATCAGCTTTGCTAAAGCGGATCCAGTGGCTTCATGCTCTGCTGTTCTATAGGTCATCAACAGTGGAGGGAGTAAGACATCCCAATCATCTTGGCGGCTATTACAAAACTTTGCCAGTTCCTGTCCCAGTGTCCAGTTGTACTTTTCTACCATCCCATCACACTGTAGGTGAAGTGGTCCTGTGCGTTGTCCTGGTCTTTCGTATGCCAAACAACTGGCAGTATTCATGGAACACAGCTGATTCAAAGTTACGGCCTTGATTTGAATGCAGTTCGTATGGCATACCAAACCTGAAGAAGAAATCACTAATAGCCAAAGCTACAGTTGTAGCTTCCTGATTTGGCATTGCATATAACTCAGGCCACTTGGTGAAATAATCCATCACCACACAAATATACTTGTTTCCAGCACGAGTTTGAGGCAAAGGACCAGCAATGCCAACTTGATATAACTTCATTGGAGAACGTCCCTTATGCTTGGGTCCCCTTTTAGCACAACATGTACTGCATGTCCTGCACCATTCTTCGACATCTTGCCTCATACCTATCCAGTAAAATCTCTGTCGCAGGTGACTCAATGTTTTCTTAACTCCGAGATGTCTTCCTGTTAAACTATCATGGGATTGAGGCAGCACAACTTCCCGTAACTGTCTCGGTGTAACCATTTGCCAGGTCGTCACTCTCCCATCTCCGGAGAAGAATACCATCTTCAAGCTTCAACTGGTCCCATTGTGCCCAATAGTTCTTTGTCACAGGGCTTAAGCTAGACAACTTCTCCCAAGCAGGGCGCAAAACACATGCTTTTAGAAAATCAATTATTGGCTTCAAATATTGGTCTTTCTCATGCTATATTTTAATATCTATACCTTGTTCCTCTTCACCATCATCAACTCCTTCAGTCACTTTGACTTCAGCTTGATGGCACCTGGTTAGTTCAACACTTTTCCAGCAATGTCTGCAGTCATTTTTGCAGGGTCTTTGGCTCAGTCCATCGGCATTTCCATGAGATTTTCCTTCTTTGTATTCAATATCATAATTATACTGGTCTATCATTCCGTTGTTTGACATAACATTGTTTGATCTTGCTTGATAAGAAGTTAATAATACTATACTTTCTAGTTTTCAAGTTTATTCAAAACAGTTAACGAGAATTTATTGAAAAATTGCTAATCTTGTTTTTTGTGTTTTGTTCGTTTTGACAGCATCACAACTGATTAAATTAAAAATTGATGTCAGCAGAGGGCATTTCCCTATGTGTAGTGTAGATAAACGTCTCATAACGTTTAGCACGTGTAGTTGAAAGCCCGATGTTTTGCAAGTAATTCGTAAGTGGTTTTTTTTTTTTTTTTTTTTTTTATTAGAGACAGTTATAGCTATAAAATTTATATTGTTGACACAGTTTCGTATTATGAATAAAATGTAATTTTATTATGTTTTCGATTACGTAAGAACTTGGCAAAATTAAAAAGTTCGAATAAATACAAAATTTAATCAAAGTTGCAGATATGGAAATAATGTTACTGTTACAGACCAATTAGTTCTACTACCAGTAGTATTAGTATAGTAGTAGTAGGGTAACTATAAGTATGTCCCATACCAACCCTACTAAGAACTAGCGACTAGTAATACAAATAATAACCTTTGCAACTTAAATTAAAAGGCACTACACGGAACAATTAGCGTACAGTAAGTACTGCCTACGTGTACTTTTATACATAGTCTAATGCATCTTTCAAGTTGAATTTACATAGATTCACTGATTGCGAAAATTACATAACGCGCTCTCACTCTCATTGTAACTAAACAAATTACATGTGTATTAATAATAAGAGAAATTAAATTCACGACTTGTGAGATTTTGGAGTAAAATACTGTGAAACTGTTGAAATAATTGTATCAGAGAAAATACAATGGGGTATGATATCTCAGTTTTCAGTTTAAAATTGATATGAAAGTAAGTTAAGGGAAGATGTGAAATATTAGTGTTTACAAATTAAAATTTTTAATTTGACTTCTTGGTTGAAGAGTGCTGTAATCTGTTGTCATGAAAGTTTGAATTCAATGAAATATAATTACTGTAGCTTTAGAATTTAGAAACGAGTTTTTTATGCCTGAACAAATTTTCAGTTTTTTAGATAATGAGCCAAAAACTGCACAGTAATCCAATTGAGGCCTAACTAGTAATTTGTATAGAGAGATAATATCCTTTTTAAATTATGTTAACTAAACTGTCAGGGTGCTTTATAATTATTTGTACTTTGGCAACTGGCAAGCAAATTCTAATTCTGGACTCCTGTGCTTCCAACTCTAAATATCTATATACTTCATGATAGTTTCCCAGTATATAAACATCTTGATTGTTAAGAGTAAAAAACACAAAAACCAAACAACCGATGTTCTTTGGCACTATGAAAGGTAAGATCTTTATTATTAATTACAGCTGACTAGTTTCAGTAACACAGTTACCATCAATGAAACTAATCAGCTGTAACTAGTAATAAAGATTTTACTTTTCGTTGTGCCAAAAAATATTCAGTGTGCTCGAAAAGAAACTACTCTTGATCATTTTCTTCATTGCAAGCAGCTAAAGGCTCAAATCTGTTAGACTTGTATCTGACTGCTAACTGAATTTATTTATATATTTATATATATATATATATATATATATTATTACTGTGTACCATTATAATTCTCCAAAGCACCGATTACCATAATTCTATTCATTTCCTGTCTTACTTCATTTCTGTTCTTAATTTGCTATTTCCCTCTTTAATACAACAGTATTTCCCAAAGTTACTTTAAACTTATCATTAACTAAGGAGTTCATTTAAAGTATGGTGATTTGTAGATGCAGATGGTGCATAAAATTGACTCCTTCTCATGCAAAGTTTTCTGTTCTGCAATAATAAAAGCATGCAAAGCGCATGTTACTTACAATGTTTACAAGCTTTTGTTAAAGTACCCAAATGGAAGACCAACTGTTTGAAGCTTATAAATATTATCTGACATATGAAAAGTGGAAATATGTTATCACTTGAATGAAACCTATGTATACTTAAGTGTCTGCAAAAGTTTAGGCAATTTAATATCATCCTTCTGAAAAACATAACATTTCCAAAATGTCACTGAGCATGTTGCAATTTTTTTTGCTGTGATTTACTGTGGCTACAAATTAAAGCTGAAATGGTAAGTTAAGCATCTGGAGAGTCAATATAAATTCCAAGATGAACTTTTTTTTATATATTTATGTGAGACTACTGATGTAGTCTTAAGAGTTATAAGGACTATATGTTGCTAACTAATGTCCTGACACTGTACCATGAGAAAGTACCACTGCTGTCCATGTTGGATACCATTATTTTTTGGTACTATAAATACAAAGCATCCAGCCATGTGTCAAATTGAACATAGCTCCCATGTAAGATTCAAGTACAAGTGGGAATTCTTGCTGAACCATTTACAAATGTTTTCCATGTATATTTGGGTTGCTTAAACATGTCCTTAGAAGTTATCATCCATACACAGTTGATGGACTGGTGACTGTCCATTAATCCAAGGGCCTATTACTCTGAAAACCCGATAGTCCAAAGATCTAAGTGGTTTTTTTGTTTTTTTAATAGTTAAAATGTAAAATTGATTGTTTGGTTAAACTTGTGAAATTTTAGGACAAAAACATCCTAGGATATGACCTAAAAGGTTGCAATTTCTCATGAATGAATAGATAATGTTTATCATCATTTCCCTGATATTGTTTTCTTGTATGCATGCATAAAATTATCTTGATACTGAGCCAATGCAATGAGCTGTACACTACAGTCTTGATTGAAATATTTCTGTTATTTGCATTTAAAATGAAGCAAGACCCCCCCCCCCGAAGATATACCCGTTAATCTTTTCATTTGAGATTGCATTTGTCTATTATAGACCAACAAATTTGTTTATTCATTCAAATTTGACTTGTATTGCAAAAACCAAAATTCTGTGACTATTGGTCCTTTGGACAAACGGGACTTTGAAATACTGGATGGTCACCAATGGACTTTGAGAAGCATGTAAACACTGTCCTCAGAGTATTTCATAAAAGCCTTCTGCAGTGGAAACTGCAGAACCATCACATAGTACACCATTGATGGTGGAAGAAAGGATGTAAGGCCTAAACACTAATTTTTTGTATTATTTCTTTAACCCTTCCATTATGGGCTGGGTGGTATCCACCCAGCATGTATCCACAAAAGTATACATGAGAGTAATTATACTATGATTTTTGATCATGTCTGCATATCTTTACAAAATTTTGCAGGTTATTGGTAAACATTACAAGGCATTTTCTACACAAAATATCAGGTTTTTAAATTAAGTATATATATATATCATTTTTATTATATTGACCTTTCAGCCGTGCCTGGCTAACATTATAGAAGTGGAAGTGACGTGGCGCACATGCACTCGTTACAATATCCAAAAATATAAAACTGGCTTTTACAAAGTGACTAGTCTTGGCTGTGTTCAAGTGGACTAGTATTTTGTAAAATACGGTCACATTTCAGTTTTAATACATTACATATGTATATACATTATTACTATTTAAAATAAGTTCTTAAATTTCAGTTATTTTTCTTAAAACATAGAACAATAAATAAAGAATTATAGAAAATAATTATCTCCTCTAGCTATAAACTTTGAATTTGTTTGCTGCTTGCCATAGGTTGCTAAGCCTTATCAAATTTTGCACGTGGAGAATGTGAAATGAAATCATTTTTTAGGTTTTATATATTCATTTTGAAATAACCAAAAATTATAAATTACTATATCAATACCATAGAATTCTGCTATAATTTATCAAGCTTAGCAACTAAGCTGTATTTGGATCTAAAAAATATGAAATTTCGAGTCATGAGAAGAAGGGGTTTCCTGCGTAAATACTTTACAAAGGCTCAAAGAACCACTAGGGGAGACATTGTGAGCTTTTGATTGGTTATTCACATATCAGGGACAGAAGTAGGTGTATGTAAGCCACTGTGTTTGATTCAGGAAATGTAGTGGTATCTCAGCAAATAGAAGAAATAGGAGGTTCTTATTTTAAATTCCTGCTTGTCAGTATCTGTAATTTGAGTTCTTAATTCATAAGAAACTATAGACTTTGTATTTGGACATCATAAACATCTAATTTGAACCAATGCTGCATTCAACATACCATGTGACACACAAAAATCAATATTTAGAATTTCTTTTTTAATATTTACTTTTAGAAATTAACTAATAGATCATACTAAAATTTAATTATAATCTACAATTTTATACCAAACTTATTGACATACATTCATAAAACAGTAATTCAATAAAAGTTTTAATGCGAGTCAACAAATGCAACATGACATGGCCTTTGGCCCATGACCCATAGCAATAGGGTAAGCAGTAAACTTCCCTCTGTAAAATAGTTACATTTTTGTGATATTATATCACAATAAAACTGATAATAATATGAATTATGTCATTCTTTAATGGCTAATTTGTATAAAGAAGAAAGTATAATATCATTTGAATTATGCCTTGTCTGTTTTATGCTGCTGGCTTGTGACAAGGCCTTTCACTTTGGTTTTGAGCATCAGATCACATCAGTGGGGGCATTCATCAGACAAGATATAGTAGTTTGAGTTGATAATATTGTTGGCAGTGTCATTATCATGTTAAACTACACAAATATTACAATTAAGTGTCAATTCTTTATGTATACAAAAACTAAAATTACATAGTTTAGTAGAATGTTCTGTACATTAGTATCAAGTTATTCATAATATAATTTCAGATTTAATTGCATGTTATGTTTTTTAGAGTGTAATATTAAATTATATATTCATAATTAACCAAATCAGTATCTTGTTAATTTTTTTTCTAGGTTATTTTTTTCTTCCAAAATTTGTTTATTTGTGAGGAATCTAATTTGATTGTGTTTGAAAAATTTGTCTTTGTTTAAAGTTGTTTATTCCAAAAACTATGTAGCATAAGCTAAAATTCTAGTTAAAATAAATACTTAATCTAAGTTATTTCATTGGGTGGAATACATAAAGCTTTTTTTTAAAATGATATTAACTGTGTTTTATGTATGGGTCATGCTGATATTTTGACATTAAACATTTACATAAGTTTTTCATTACATGAGCACATGTCTGTGCAAGTACTATATTTTATAGTTAAAAAATCATTAAAATCCAACTTTTCTAGGAAGGAGAATAAAGCTATACTAAGATGTTATCTGCAGTGAAAACTAAACTTCAGCCAGATGACAAAGCTTTATAAGCTAATATGTACCTGCTAGTATGAGAAGAAAGCCAGTCTACCACCTGCCATTCAATTTATAAATGCTCATATGTTGATGTATACCTGTAATACTAATAAGGCATGATGTCAGTTACAGGAAAATGTTTCATTTTGAATCAGGTGAGAATGTATCTGAAAATTTATGATAGTGTTATTTTTTAAGAAATGTTGTTTGAAATTTATCTGTTAGGTGCTAGATACTGTATTTTAAAATGTAAGGCTGCAAGATTATTCCTGATGAACTCCAGAAGCCTAATAAACAAGATAAGACTGGCAGTTGGATACCGTACATGTTTTATAAAAGACAGTTCACAAAAACTAAACAATTTAACTATGTATGCTTTCTTTTTTAGAAGTGTTTTATAAAAGAAAGCATAGAACAGATATTTTTATGTGAAGAAATTTTTGTTTTTCATAAAATGATTTGTTAATGTTTTTTAGCTCATATAGAACTCCTGGAATGTATTAGAGAGACAAGGTTTTGAATTACCTGGAATTATATTTTTCTTTTAACAAAGACTAGGCAGTTAGTTTGTATAACAGTATTCCAATAAGATATCACCTTAGCAGAATATTTTTGAATAGGTTAAGTCATTTTATCTTATATTAACACTATTTTATGTGATACATTTACATTTTGTTATAAGTGTTTGTATGTGTTTTTTGTACATTTACAGATTGTATTACATATTTGGTGATGTCATTGTCTCATTGATTGTATGTGTTTCAATAATAACCACAATTTAAGGTTTTTAGATATGTATATATGTTTAAGCTGAAAATATAAACTTTATTTTCAGAGATGTTGTGACCACTTCCATAGTGGTGCCATGAAGAAAATCTTATTTCTGCTTGCATTGGTTCAGGGATTTTTGATCTGGCACTACTATTCTGGAAAGAAGATTTCACAATCTATTCTGTTTAGTGACAGTCCAGCTGGTTCTGTTTCTGGATACGTGTATCAGAGCTTTCACCAGTCAGGTCTCTTTCATATACCATTGACACATCAAGAGGACATGAATTCCTTTTATACTGAAATAAGTAACAATGTATGGTGCTTCACCCAAGGTGTGAATTACACCAGATACTAAAAAAAAAGTAAATGTATTTGTTTGACTGGTTGGTATGGCTCAGATTGTGGTCTTCCACAGTCTGTGTGGAGTTCAGAGTTCTTACTGGATGGCACTAAACCAGGAGTATGGATCAAAAGACGTGATCGTCCCAGGAGAATTATCAATGGTGTTGTCTTCACAGTAGATTATGATCTCTTGGAGATCCGTGTCAATGAGTTGAACAGTTCAGTGGATGCATTTCTTATAGCAGAACAGAATTGTTCTACTATGGAAGATGAATCTTCTTCACCTCTTTTATCCAAACTACAAGAAGGATTTCTTAAGAAATTTCACAGTAAAATTATTTATGTTTCTATAGATGATATTAGTTCTATAGGGTTTGAATCCATAGAAGATAGTGCATGGGAATATGTATCTCAGATGGAATTATGGAAGAATGGTTTAAAAATGTTATCAGATTTTCGTCCTGATGACATGTTTGTATTTTCTAAAATGGCAGATATTCCATCTCGTGATGTTCTTCTTTTCTTCAAACTCTACAATGGTTTTCCAGAGCCAATTGGCTTCCATTTAAGGACTGTAATGTATAATTTTGCATTGCTTGAATCTGTACCAAGCTACAAGACCAATAGCAACAGGAGTGAAATTAAGTTAATGGCATGTTCCTTTACATTTTTCAGCTCCTATTGTGACTACAGTATAAAAAAGTTGCAAGAAAGGAAGTGGGATACAAATTCAAAACTGTTAACAGAATTTCAGATGAACTTTGAGAAGTTAAGCTACTGGAAAGTTGGATCTCTGAAGACACCAGCTGGTTGGAGTTGCCGATGGTGTCTTCGGCCACGTGAACTGAGGAAAGCTCTTATTGATCAGCAGTGTCCAAACAAACCAATGGGTGTTCCTCAGGTGTCTGATACCTTAGTAAATGATAATACATCACTTGCCATTGAGATGTTTGCCAAATCAGGAATGTCACTGGACAAGTCTTCCTTTGGACATCGAGTATTTCAATCAGAAAATGATCAGTACTATGCCCCTTCTTATGTTCTTCTGAATAGGAAGAGATTTGATTTCCTGTTGGGAGATATTAGTGAACATGTACTTCAAGTGAGAACAGAAACTGTGAACTAAGGCTAAACTGCACTGGTTAATAAGAAATTGGAAAATAAATTATTAACTAATGTACATTCTGAGTGTTATTAAAGATGCATGTAAAATAAAATATAGTAGGATGTTGAAAATCAGTATTACAGTATGAAGGCTGTAACAAATAACAGAAATTGATAGATTAGGCTTAATGTTAACTTCTGATAATATCACTGAGTATGTATTTAGTGCCTGAATGAGTAGTTTATTGTAATATGACTAAAATTTCATTATATCCAAGATTTATCAAGGGTTTATTCAGAGTCCATTTACAGTATATAAGACAAAACTAAGTACTGGTGTAGTTAATACCTTACTATTTTTAAAAATGATTATTAAATTTTGTTATTGCATTAATTTTAGCCACATCTCAATAACAAGAAAGCTAAGAGTGGCTTTATTCATAATAATTTTTTCTTTATTAATTGATTACATTTAAATATCAGTCCCAGACTTGACAGTGTATGTGTGTGTGTGTGTGTGTGTGTGTGTGTATATATATATATATATATATATATACTATGTTGGCAAATGACAACATTGGCAGATCCTATGTTGTAAAGATCGTGGCACAGTTTTACATTATGATTTTTTTAAAAGTACAATACTTCAATGTGTAGAAATGGAGAAAGTTTTACAAACTTCTCGAGTTCAATGATGGCACAGTTTTACATTATGATTTTTTTAAAAGTACAATACTTCAATGTGTAGAAATGGAGAAAGTTTTACAAACTTCTCGAGTTCAATGATGACATTTACTACCTTGTGTTCATTTGAAGTTTTAGATTTACATTCACTAATGTGATATCTTCCTGAAAACATTTTAATTTTTGCCTTCTTTTCTTCCCAACTAATACAAAATCAACTTTTTACTGTCTTAGCTATTTTCGTACAAAGGCCTTTAGTTTCAGTTTCCTGATTGCTTTTAATTGCTTGACATCGACAATTTAACTTTTACAAAATGAATTACAACTTTTGGTCGTAGATTGATGAAGAAATCTATAAAACATGCAGTTATTTATGGAGTTGACCCTACATTATGGATAGAAATCAGGAAAAATCTTTTTTATTTTGTTTAAAATAATGTATATTTTAATAAAAATGACAAGATTTTTTATAAGAGAGTTTGATGGGAATGCTGTTAATGAACTGCAACTAATTAACAGTTCTGAGACTTAACTTGAAAAATAGAACATTATGTATCTCTGCATTGATTTGAGAACAAATGTTTACCAGTGCAATAAGGTAAAACTGCTCACTTTTTAAAATATTTCAAATTTTCTATTAATGAAATAGGATTTATCTTCCCAGTTGAAAGAACACAATAACTGGTAGATTTATTCTTGAGATATAGAAAGCCATTCCATGTTGACTTGCTGTCAGTAACCATGTGACTCTAGGTTCATGTATTAACCTAACCCCGTTACTACCCACTCTCCCACCTTTCATGTGATTTATTGCATGTGTGGTATATGCTGTACTTTCTTCATAATTCATATTTCTAAGTTGCAGTCATGATGGAAAATCTTGTATCATCTTGTTGTGTTTGTGGGGGGTTAAATTGTATGCAGAAAAAATGCAGAAGTTAAAATAGCATGCAAGAGTTCCTACTGGACTAATTCAAATAAATTCAGAATCTCTAAAGAGAAGGAGAGACTGCAAATAATCGGGTATGATAAGAAGAAATGCAGGGGTAGGTAATAACCTTAGTTGCATTAAACTGTGTAAACATAGAATCTCCTAAAAGAAAAGAGTAAAGTTTTTTTTGTATTGCTCAATTGAACGACTTCTCAACTGTAGACACCTTGTAGTTGTTAACAAAAGTGTTGGGAAGCAAAGAAAAACAAACTTGAATTACTATGCAACATAGATGTGGGTCTAAGTGGTAAATAAACAGGTAGTTTAAAATAACTCTCCTGCTGTGGCTTCCATCTGGCTTGGTGAATAACCATAGCTGGCAAACATTGATTTCTGAAGCTGAAAATATAGTAATATGTTGTAGATAGAAGTTTAGAAATGTCTTTGAATTCATCCACAAGCTAGCCTGTATGATGCCTTATAATGGGTACTGAGACTGGAAAGCCAAAGACATTGCCAGATGGCAAATTTGATGAGGTATACCTCAAAAAATTCACTCGTAAGGTGTTTGGATATATTATGATACACAAGATGGATCAGATGCACAAGGTAGTTCTTTAACATGGATGGAGCAAACTTAACAGCACAAATGTCAGCAAGAAAATATGAATCATGGATGAAAAACAGGGCTTACATAAGGTGGGAGAGTGGAGAATTATGGGTAAGTTGATGCATGCTCTGCATTGCATTAAGGACATTCAAAACTTTGAGTCACACAGTTGTTGACAGCAGGAAAGCAATGCAATAAGGAAAGGCTTTCAGTATTTCAGGGGTAAGTACCTGTTTGAAATTTATTTTAACCTACAAATTTTTTGAAGTTGATTTATTATTACTCTTAATCTTTACAATATTGTTCATTTAAATTTGTAATTCATCTTTGGCTGTCAAAGAGATTATTTATTCCAAACATTAACAAAAATTTGTGTTATGAAATATACACCTTCCTACTAATGAGTATTTAATGTAGCATTGATGTAAATATTGATATTGTGGTTTGTTTACTAATTTTTGGTTCTCTTAGTTTTCTTTTATATTACAATTTTTTAACAAAAATAATTATATATAAAGCAAAATTATGCATTTATTTTAAACTATCATTGCTGTACAAACTTTGTTAAAAAAATTACTGTGTTTGTTGCTTGATGGTTTACTAACAAAAATAGGCACATGTACATTTGAGTTTATTGTTGTATAGAACCATAAGTAGTGATTTAGACTTGGTGCAGTGTTATATTCTAACTTATAGAGGTAATATTTTGTGGCATATATGATAAAAACAAAGTTGCTTATGCTGGAACTAAAATTGATGAAATACTAATTATCATTATAGTTCTCAAAACAAAAAAAAAACTAAACATAGGAAATACACACTATGATTTTGCAATGTGAATTTACACATACACAGCTAGTGTATTTCATATTCCCCATTAATGTTATAAGAGCTACACTTGCATCACTTTAATAGTGGGGTGTACCAATGTCAAATATTTTATATAAGATAGAAGAACTTAAGAACAAGAGCAGAATGTTATTCTGAAGCTGACACTACAAGACACAATTTAATCATTTTGATTTTTATAACTTTTTAACATGTTTTAATGGATTTGTAATTCTTTATACTTGATTAAAATTATGTTGGTTAAGGTTGTGATAATTAACTTTTTAGGATAATAGATTTGTAGACAGCTGTAACAGTTTTTAAAAATATTTACAAAGTAATTATGATCAAATCTGTCCTGGTTGTTGAAAATTAATTTCCATTACTGTTGAATATGTAGCATTACAGAAACAGCTTATACAAATAACAAACCACATTTTGGATAGATGAAGCTATTTCTCTGAGCCCTTAAGACTACATCATGTGATTATCATGTAACAATTTTCAGTCTTATTACTGTTAGCAGTATATAAAAATGTTCCCCAGTGGCTTAGTGGTAGGCATGAGAGCTTGTTACATTAAAATGTGGGATTTGACTTCAGTGGCAGACAGCACATGTAGCCCATGCATTGTGCAGCTTGGCACTAAAAACAAACTCCACATATAAAGCTGTAGGTGAAGCATGAGAGAGATGGTTGTATGGTTACCAGCTGCATTATTTAAATAAAGTGCACTGAATGCTTAATGTACAAGACCAAGAGAATTGTTATGGTATGATAGTATGGAACATAAAGGTATACAGTATCACTAAGAATTTTATTGTTGAAAAAGGAGCACCAGTGTAACTTTACACCCCCACCATAATCATATGTTTCTTTAGTAATGATGTTAAAAAAAGATGTGACTAGTAATACTCTCGTAACTTTTTGTTATAGCTGAAGATCCATGTTTATTTTACAATCAAACTGTTAATGTTATTCTGTTATGTTTTGCTACTTATTATTATGTTTATTGCATATGTTTACTTAATTGTTTGTTAAAAAGACTGACTGTTAACCTTTTTGGAACAGTGAATGTTAAATAAAGAATTGTTTTGCTTAAGTCAGCTGCAGTTCTTTTAATTGGCTATAGTAGTGCTCTTACAATGCAAGTTTACTGTATGTAGTAGATATATGATTATCTAGTAGCATCAAATGTGTGTGCATATAAACAATGTGCAATTTTTTTTAAATATAAGAACATAATTACAGTTTTATATAATGTGTGTTTAAATTAAATTTGGGTGTTTTATTTCATTTTTATGTATTGATTATAAAGTTAAAGAGTTTTCAAACATAAACTAGTAGTTATGGCAAATTGTGCAAATTAGTACTATCAAAGTTTGAACCTTTGTTTCGTAATGTGTTCTGTACCTATGAAAGTAACAATCTACCCTTTGTTACCGTTTTCTAAATGTTCAACAGTTTTGTAACAATTTCAGCATGTGATACATGTCAAATATAATGTAAAGCTTTTGTGGTGGATGAGGAAAACTAGAAATGATATTTAGGAGTTCAAGGTTTGCCTCAAGTCATTTTATCATTTAGAAGTAGAAATTTAGTCCATTACACGTAAGAGATGAAATCATTAACACTACATCATACAGTTGATGTAAGCAGTGTGAAATCAAATTTGCACATACTTCATATGTAATTCTCTGATAAGAAAATAAAACACTGGAAGTTTTCAGTTAGAATCAAGACATTGTATCATAAAACTAAAGCCGAAATGACAGCTAGTAACTCATCAACATTTGAAATTCCTTTGCACAAAACTATGAAATAATGTGCCATCACACTACTTGTTTTTTTAATGGTCATCTCATCTGACACTCCAAAGTTCTATGCTCTTTGATGGAACCATTTCTGCTTTTTTTAAGAATGTTGAAAAACTATAAAACCAAGTTCACCAGAGATTTTTGAATATCAGATTCTCAGAATAGATAGGAATGAAAGTGCTAAATTAAACATATCCCAGTCATATTTATATGCCTTTATAGAGTAAAACTATAATGTAAGTGTAAATTCTATTAGAGCTGGATGGTATGTTTCTTTGCTGAGTTGTCCTTTTTGTTTGTTTATAAGCATATGAGACATTAATGCAAAAGGAGTTTTAGAAAGTGAGCTTATTAATATTTCAGCAGAACTATGATGTATCATGCTGTCTTTTGTCAACATATCTACTACCTCTTGCAAGATGTTTACCTTACTTTTCAGTCTACTAATTTTTTATTGTGTGCATTCTAGTTTTTCCTCCATTGAATATATTGAACTTTTTGAGACTCTTGTTTTCATTTCAACTTTCTAGAACTTGTGTGGTAGTGTATAATGCTTAGATATTATTTACTTTAAATTTGTCCTGGTTTATTCAGTATTTAGCTAAGAAGATTCAGCTGGCAATTCATTAAGTACAGTTGATAGTTTGGTGGGTTTAGTTGGTGGCTTGGCAGGCTAAGAGGGCTGATCATGTGCATTGTTGGAAGAAGTTCCAGCACTCTGTGGGTCAAGGCTTTTTCTCATTTTTTAAATAAACAATAAATGGAAATATATTGAATAACTAACTTTGATGGATTTGAGATAGTATCATTCATATTATATTAACTTTTTCCATTAGCAATGGTAAAAGTTGCATTAAATTTTTAGCTATACAGATTATTTTAAAATATTGCTAATTATGAACTGTAGCTCCTAATTTGGTTTAATCACATTTTTCAAAAAACAGCAGGTATAATCACTTTTATATTTTTGTACATGCTCATTATTTTCAATTTACTGTGTAATTTTGTAAGAGGTTAATAATAATGATCATATGATTTCAAAAATAAGTATTTATGAGCATACCTTTTTTTGTATCTTAGTGCACCTAAAATTAGCAAATAATCCAACTCAAGTGACTTTGAAGTATCCCACAGCCTGGGCACTGCAATGCACCTATAATTAGCAGATAATCCAATTTAGCTGAGATAGCTTTGAAATATTCTGTAAATATAAGAGTTGTAAGCTGTATTTTTAATTTTGGAAATTTTTTGTTAGCTAGAGGGAGCTGCAGGTCATAATGATGAATAATAATATAGGTCTAGAAAAGTCTAGGAAGTTGATGTCAGGTTTTCTGATACATTCAAGAGTAGATTATAAATGCAAGATAGTTGTGAAAATTGTACAGTTTTTTCTAGCCATGAAGTGGTACAAGTAGCTTTATTTTTCCTTATTCCTAGTACCATTAGTAAGGTATTTCCATTTGAATCTAATTCGTAAGCTTAGTCTAACAAGTGCACAAGCTTTTAGAATAAAAGAAAAACTAATTTACTGTGGTTTACCTGGACTGGATTTCATTATTTTCACCATATAATTTAAAAGAATGGCCAACAAAAGAACAACATTATGACAAATTATGTCAGAAGTGGGGTTATTTTAGTGAAAATATAGACAACAACAAAAACTTTGAATATTTGTGAAGTTGAGCTTCAACTGTTTAAGATTATGACCAAGTGGTCAAGTAGTGAAATCCAAGCATTATTAGAGGTGGTGAAATTATTCTAGTAAGGCAAAGAAGAAGAAATTAGGAAATTAAAAGAAGACCAGGAAGAATGAAACAGAAAATTAAAAGAAAAGAAGAATGGGACAGAAATTTGATGGAGGAGTTTAAAACAAACTACTATTTCAAAAATCTGATTGATGAAACCATTGGAGATGTACAGAGAGATTACAACATTAAGAGTAAAGAAATATGGAAAGGCCATAATGAGAAAATTGAAGCAGTACAGCAAGGCATTAATGAAAAAACAGAAAAACAAAACAGAAATAAAGATATCAACAGGGTAGAAAAGAGTGTCAGTGACAGAACAATACATCTAGAAAATGAATCATTAAATGCAAAGGCTAAGCCAGTCACTTCACTTTCTGCATTGACTCAAGAGTTCTAACTGAAAACACCATTTACTGTCAAATAAGGAGGAGAAGAACTTGTTTCGTCTGCACTTATTATAAGTGTTGCTGTGCCACCTGTTACTGAAGGACCTTCTTGGATTACTCCATTCATGACATTATCAACTCCAGTTCAAGAATTTAGCTGGTCAATTCAACATCAATTATTAGAGAAACCAAGAGTTTATGATGGTAAGATACCATGGGAATTATATCAAGCTTTGTTTGAAATAATTTCCAGACTGAACAGGTGGAATAGTGAACATCAAGTCATCCATCTTGCTGTCCACTTAAAGAGACCAGCTTTGGTAATGCTAAGTAACCCTCCAGCTGAGAACTGTGACAGCCACTATATCTTATAGATTTGGAGAGACACACCAGAAGGAAGTATTTATGGTAAAGTTCAAGAACAGGGTACAGAGGAAAGGAGATACTTTAGCTGAATTTGCAAAAGAATTGGAAAGGCTTGCCAAATTATCTTGTATGGACACTCCTCATGAAATGATAGATTCATTGGCATGTGACAGATTTTTAGATACCATAGCAGACAAGGATACGAGGATCAGGCTGAAGCAAAGTAGGTGCTCATCTTTAAAGGAAGCTCTACAGTTAGTAATGGAACTTGAATTCACCAAAGTTTCAGATAAACTACAAATAGCACTATATAAAAGTTATGGGAATAATAGATCCTATCAACAGTTTAGAATAACAGAAGTTATTACTTAGATAACTAGATAAACAGAACATAGGAAGTAAACCATAGGACAGTAGATCTTTTAAGTGTAACTTGAAGAGGCACATTGTCAGGAACTGTAGTCAAAGACATGCGTGTAGTAAGAGCTCCTTTCAGAAGATACTGGAAAGAGGTAACTGTTATAGGTTTGGGGAACCTATTCATTGCATCTGAGACTGCAAGAAGTTAACAACTGTCATCAAACCAAAGAGACAGAGCCCAACTAAGTGAAAAGAACAATACAAAGCTAACAAGATATATAAAAAAAAAACAGGAATTAGTTGGA